CTGGTGGGGAGGGAGGTGGTTAGATGAGGGGCACGGGGAGGGAGAGAGAGGAAGGGAGGGAGAGAGAATGAGAAATAGAAAAATAAAAAAAGAGAGAAAGAAAAAAAGAAAGAGAGCGAGATACAGACAGACAGACAGAGAAAGAACAGACACCTAACGCACAGTTTCCTCCTCCTCCTCCTCCTTCATGACCGTCTAACAAAAAAACACAAAAAAATGGATAAAAATAATAATAATAATAGTAATAATAACAATATTAACACCAACAATAACACAGGCAACCAAATCAAGCAGAACGAGGCGCCACGACGAGGGCGAGCGCCTGACAGCGGCGACCGAAGGGAAACTCGCTCGCTGTCAGGAGGTGCGACCGACCCCCCCCCCCCCCCCCCGCGAATGTACATGGGGGCGGGGAAGAGGGAGGGGATGGAAGGGGTGGAAGGGGTTGAATGGGGGAGGTTATGGGGGGTGGGTGGGTATCGGGTGTTGGCAAGGGGGGGAGGGGAGGGTGGAGGTAATGTATATGGGAGGGAGGGGGGGGGAGGGTTGGCAAGCGACGTGACGGAGGGCGATGTTGGAGACAAGGAATGGAGAATCGGGGTGGGAGGGTGGGGTGGGGGTGGGGGTGGGGGGGTGTATGGGGACTGGTTAGAGACGGGATCAGGGAGGCAGGGGCAGGAGGCAGGGGTAGGGGCAGGGGGGGGAATTCAAGCCCCTTCGCCTGTCGATAACACGCCCACTCCCGCTGAATTTCGGAATCCATAATCACATCTTACACCCGAATAAATTACTTTGCGTGCCGGGATGATCAATGTGTTTCCGTCGGGGGGGGGGATGGGGAAGGGGGGATGGGGGAGAGGAAATAGGGAGGGGGAATTGGGAAGGGGAGGGGAGAGGGGAGGAAGAATGGGGAGAGGGGATGGGGAATTGGGAGAAGAAATGGGGGGGGCGAAATGGGGAGAGGAAATAGGGAGGGGAATGGGGAATGGGGGGGGGTGGAGAGGGGGCATGGTATTAGGGCATCTTGCCTTAACAGCTTCCATGTGCTAAACAGGAATTCGCCTCCAAATCCAGACGGAGAGCGAGGCTGATAGATAGATAGCGAAATTGACAGATAAGTATTTAGGTAAGATGTATAAGTATTAAGATAAGTATTAAGGCTAAAGATGGGCAGGTAGATAGACAGATAGACCGATAGATTAATAGACAGAATGACAGAAACAGGTAGCGGGATAGAAAGAGAGAGATGAATAGATAGATGATAAGATAGATAAGTAGATGGATGGATAGATCGATAGAGAGAAAGAGAGAAAGAGAGAGATAGAGACATAGATAGATAGATAAAGATAGAGACATAGATAGATAGATAGATAGAGATAGAGACAGAAATAGAGAAAGAGTGAGAGAGAAAAATGTTAAAGAGAAGGATAAGAAAGACAAGAAAGATAAGAAAGGGAAGAAAAACAACAACGTGCAACCCCCTTTTAAGTTGTCTTGTTCGAAAGGTCGATCAGGCAGACGACAAATTGGGAAAATTGGCCCCTATCGACTTCTCTCTTCTCCTCTGCATTTCTCCACGCGTTTTCTTTTTGTTTTTTATGCTTCTTCCCCCCTCTCTGTCTGTCTGTCTGTCTGTCTGTCTTCCTCTCTCACTCTCTGTCTCACTCTCAGCCCCCCTCTCTCTCTCTCACTCTCAGTCTGTCTGTCTCTCTTTCTCTCTTCCCTTCCAATTCCTTCCATTTCCCTCTCTCCTTCCCTCCAATAAAACCAAAGACCGTTATGCAATCCTGCACTCGAACAGTCATTAAAACAAACAAATTCTAAGGCTGGTGTTGCAACGGCATTCACTGTGTAAGCTTGAAACATATAGACATACACATCCATATGTATACACGGGCATACAAGGATACGGTCAAGAATAATGTGCACACATACGCAAGTGCACAGTCACAAAAAAATTGCATTCACACATAAACAAGCATATGGATATATTTCTAAGCTCACGTGTACGAGTAATGCACACAGACTAACAACGTCATATATACAGCCACATTCAAACAGTCACACACACACACAGACACTCAAACACACACAGACACACACACACACGCACACTTACATACAATCACACTCACACACGCGTACACGAATACTCACTCACACACAAAAGGTCCATTTTCCGAAGCTCATGGAAGCTATTAACTGTCCCAATGAATGTGACGCGAACACAAAGGCAATCATCATTGTCCAAAGCTTAAAAAATGGAAAGGATAGACAAAGAGAAAGAGAGAGAGGGAGAGGGAGAGAGAGAGAGAGAGAGAGGGAGAGAGAAAGAGAGAGAGAGAGAGAGAGAGAGAGAGAGAGAGAGAGAGAGAGAGAGAGAGAGAGAGAGAGAGAGGGAGAGAGAAAGAGAGAGAGAGAGAGAGAGAGAGAGAGAGAGAGAGAGAGAGAGAGAGAGAGAGAGAGAGAGAGAGAGAGAGAGAGAGAGATGGATAAAGACAGAAAAATAAAAATGGAAAGGATAGACAAAGAGAAAGAGAGAGAGAGAGAGAGAGAGAGAGAGAGAGAGAGAGAGAGAGAGAGAGAGAGAGAGAGAGAGAGAGAGAGAGGGGGGGGGAAGAGGTAGGGAGGAAAGGAATGAGGGAAGGAGGGAGGGAGGGAGGGAGGGAGGGAAGAGAGAGAGAGAGAGAGAGAGAGAGAGAGAGAGAGAGAGAGAGAGAGAGAGAGAGAGAGAGAGAGAGAGAGAGAGAGAGAGAGAGATGGATAAACAGACAGAAAGATAGATATACAAATAGCTAGACTGATAGATATAGAGATAGAGATATATAAAACAGATAGATAAATTAATATATAGAGAGAGATAGGCAAAAGATAGACAAAAAGATGGACAGATAGATATAGAGATAGAGATATATAAAACAGATAGATAGATAAGGTGATAAACAGATAGATAAATTAATAGAGAGAGAGAGATAGGCAAAAGATAGACAAAAAGATGGACAGATTGATAGGGAGATAGAAAGACAGATAAGCAAATAAATATATGGCCAGGTGAGGATAAAAGAAGAGATAGGAAAAAAATGCTACAAACAAGGCAAAGGTAGAAATGAAGAAAGTAAAGGAAAAGAAAGAAGAAAAGAGAAGAAAAGAGAAGGAAATAGGCCTGGGAAGAGAGGGAAAAAAATGAAGACGAACAGGGAAAATAGAAGAATAAGGAAGATAAATTTGAAAATAAAGCAGAATAGAGAATAAAATAATTAGGTAAAAAAAAAGAAAAGAAAAGAAAGAGAAAAAAAAGCTAATCCATCGCTAAGCAAGACAAAATTAGGCCTGAAAAGGGATAATGAAATCCTCAAACGGCTGTGTTCGTTTAGGCTGTGTCCGAACGTGCACCTGAGGCCTCATTCGCCGAGGAAAAAAGGTAGAGGAAAAGTGATAAAAAAAATGGAAAGAGAAAAAGAACAATGGAAAATAAGGGAGGAAGAGGAGGAAGGGATATGAAAAAAAAGATAGGAAGAGGAAAATTATTTTTAAAAAATAAGAAAGGGAAGAAGAACAAGGGAAAAAGAAAGAGGAAGTGGAAGAAAAATAAGAAATGAGGAAAAGAAATGAAAAAAAGGAAGAAGAGGAGGAAGAAATATAAGAAAAAAAGGAAAATGAAAAATGGAGAAAAATAGCGAGGTTAAAAGATACCAGAATAATAAAAAAAGAAAGAGAATTGTCATTATATCCAGAAAAAAATCTTAATAGTTGCCAAATCACTAGCTAACAAATATAAACAATTTTCCCTGTTGCGGAAAGATGAATTTCACTTCAAAACCACTAAATAGATAAGTAAATAGACACATAAATCTAAAATGAAACGAATCATAATCAACAAACTATAAAAAAAGTCACGTGACACCCTATTTCTCATCGGAGGCAAAGCAAAAGAAAATTGAAATGTAATCAACTAACCTCATTACGGAAAAAAGGAATTTCATTTCAAAAGCCGGTAAATAAACAAACAAACAAACAAATCATAAACGGAATAGATAGATAATCAACATACCATCAAACCAGGTCACGTGATTAGATTTTCATGATCTTAATGAAGAAATCGTCTTCACGAAACCGTTTAAGTACTTTCAACTGTTAGGAATGACGTCCATTTTTTTTGTTTACGCTGAAGGCTAGATGATTCAAAGTAATTTACAGTAAAACCAGAGAAAACCGAACACCCATGGGACTGTAAAAAATGTCCGGTTTGGACAGTGATCCGGTTTGGAGAGGGTGGGCTTTTAACACAGGCCGCCTATTGAAATGGGAAGGGACTGAGAATATCGTCCGGAATGGACAGTGATCCGGTTTTCTCAGGGTCCGGTTTTCTCAGGTTTTACTGTAATACAATGTCAGCGGGCCTATTTACTGTCTCCTTTAGATTTTAGTGAGTTTTGTCACATCCAAAGGGCTCCACGTGTCCCCAGCAGCAAGGAATCTATCCCCGAATTTGGAATAGAAAGTAAAGTTTAGATGTTTTCTGATAGAACAACAACAACAACAGGATCAGCAAAAAACGGGAAAAGGTATTATCAAATTCTGTCAACAAAATTGTATTGGAAGCTGCCAATTCTGATCATAAATGACAGGCTGACGAGCGGGAAGGGCGCCGAGAAATTAATCTGGAACTAATTGAGGAAAGGAAAAAAAAAATATATATATATAAATGTATTTCTCTTTCGTCTGTCTCGGTCCTAATATCTGTCAATCCAATCTCTCTTTATTATCAAACACTCGCTTTCTTTCTCTCAATCTCACTCTTTCTCTCTTTCTTTCTCTCTCTATTTCTATCTCTCTCTCTCTCTCTCTCTCTTTCTCGCTCTCTCTCTTTCTCTCAATCTCACACTCTCTCTCTTTCTTTCTCTCTCTATTTCTCTCTCTCTCTCTCTCTCTCTCTCTCTCTCTCTCTCTCTCTCTCTCTCTCTCTCTCTCTCTCTCTCTCTCTGCGTGTCTTAGACTCT